CAGAAAAACGAAAAAACGGAAATTTGAAATTGCAAAAAAAAAAGGTTAAAAAATAAATTTTTTTTAAGGAGGGGGTAGGGGTGGGGTGGAGGGATAATAGGGTGGGTGGTAACAGAAAAACTGAAATTTAAAAAAAAAATCCTTTTTTTGGAGAGAGGGGGTGGGATGGGGAAGGTTGAGAGGGATTTTTGGAAAATGTTTTCCCTTCTCTTGATAAGGAAAATATTTTCCTCCAATTGGAGGAAAATGAGTTAATAAGTAAAAAAACCAACCAAACATGAAAAAATTGAAAAATATTTTCTTTTATACCAAACACACCCTTAAGTTGCTTTATGCGACAGTTAATGTATTTTTGTTTTAATCACATAAATCGAACATGTCCAAATATAATATTCCAGAGGCAATTTTTCCGAATTAGTTTTTAGTCTTTGTCAAGCATGAATACCATAATCACAATCGATAAATAGTCGCGAAAGCACAATAATGACTTGACACTTTTTTTTTATAGTATTGTATATCTCAAACAGATTGTTTAATAATATTTGTATAATTTTATAAAATTATATACTCATTAACATGGGTACATGTGCAAAGCGCATACCTTAAATACTTAAAGTATTTGTCTAACGAAGCAAATTAAAGATGGATGTAATTGTAATATCCAAGATATAAAACTACTATGTTAATCATGTATACATTCCTTATTTCTAGCGTCCAAGTAGTATAAAACTTTGACTGCCAACAAATACGTCACCTATCTTGCCGATCAAGTAAATCAAATTATGGCTTATAATATACTTATGTAGATGGGGGGCCAAATTCTTCGACTATACAACAAATTTAGGGGTGGCAGATGGGCAAGTTGGGCTGAATTTGGACGGGCCAAGATGGGTTAGGTCAATAAATGAGTCATTGCTCAATCCAGTCCAAAGTGTACTTGGGTTAAGATGGGCTGAATCAAGATGAGTTAAATAATGGGTCATATCCCAACCCGCCCAACTTGACTCATGTTTTAGAATCATGTTCATCTTGCATAAAAAAAGCATTTTACCTTAAAATGTAAAAGTTGAAAAAAAATTNAAAAGAAAAAAAAAAAGGAAAATTAGGGCAACTAAATAAATTTCTATATAAGTTGGGTTTAGATACCTTTAGTTTTGAGTGAGTTTCATGGGTTGTATTTGGGCTGCTTAATGGGTCAGAATGAGTTATAAAATATAGAGAATTTTTTATAAAGCACTATCTTTTAATGGTAACTAGCTATCTATAGATACCATTTACAATATTACGGATTGTAGATACATTTTCTGTTGTTATAAGATGCATTAGATGTATTTAAGCTACTGTATTCATGAATACAGTAACAAAAACAAGCGTGAATCAGGGAAGTCCAGCTAATCAGTTATTGTATTCGAGTGTATTCGACTGTATTCATGGCGTGAAACATGGGATTACAGCTGGACAAATTATTGTATTCGACTGTATTACGGCGTAAAACATGGGATTACACTGTTTTTAAACGAAAAGTGAATCAATTAACATAATAAACTCCTAATATAACTTAACAAACTCAATTATAACACACAAATTTTGTATTTCCAGTTATAAAAAAGATTCTCAACCGAAAAATACCCCAAAAAATATAGCAATTTTCAGAGAAATTATATAATACATCTGAATACATAAATTATATTAATTTAAAAAAAACATATGAACATATTTTTGGCATATAGCGAGACAGTGAATATAATGGAATACATAGAATACAGCGGGATACATTGAAATACAATGAAAAAAAAGACAATGAATACAATGAAATACATAAAAATACAATGAGATAGATTGAATTACAATGAAAAAAAAAGACAATGAAAACCCTGCTTTGAGTTTGCCTTTTCCTTTTGTTGTTCGACTGACGAAGCATTTTTGTATGAAATTGTGACCTACGGTTTCGATTGATGAGGTCAGGGGTTTGGATTTTGTGATTTCGGTTATTCGCATCATCTTGATTTCACCGCATAATGCTCAAAACCTAGGATGAATCTGGCTCTGCAATGAAAAGTGAAAGTGACGAAGTAATTGGAAACCCCTCAAAAACCCTTCTCGGAACCCCTCAAAAACCCTTCTCGCGACAAATATAGAAATTAAGAAAGAGAAATTTTCATGTATCAAAGTAGAGAGAGAAAGAAAATAGTGTAACCGAATAGCGTATTTAGTGGCTTAGGAGTAGGAGGTAACCAAAATTAGATATTTTGCTATAAACATTAAAAGGTATCTATATTATATTTATTTAAAATAAATAAGGTGTTAACCTTTGCTATATAAGGTAAAAATTCCTAAAATATAATGGGTCAGCCCAAGTTAACCCATGAGCAAAAATTATGTAATCCAACCCACTAATCTCTGGACGGGTTAGATAGGTTTGGGCTCAAATTGGCACCCCAAAGTCAACAATACATATATTCTATTTGCTCTTGCCATATCAATCTCACAGGAACAACAGAACAAGAATACTTCTATATATCAATAACTTTGGAAAACAAAGCGCAATTATGCCGATCAAATTCACATAGCAGACTGCTATTAGCAGTGAAGGCCCATCAAATAGTAGCATTCTTGCTGAGAGGAAAATCACAGATCATATATTGCTAGATGGACATCAAGCAGAGGTATGAAGCTCCTGTCACTTTTGCTCCTGAGTCC